TCTTCTGAGGCCAAGATCATTGTTATTCCCACTACTCCATAGCCAATTGACATACTAGGAACCAAAATTACAAAATAGTGGAATACTAAAATAAGAGGCCACCTAATCTATCTAGTTTGAGTCCTTTGTAAGAAAAGTATGACACAGGAATCCAAATCCAGGCAGCAAAAAAGTTTAAGTCAAGAGCACATCTCAAAACAGAGGATGGAGGGACTTAATAGCAAATATATAAGTATATGTATACATATATGTATATGTATATATATGTATATATATACATATATACATATGAATCAACTTTTCTTCAGATCTGATACTAATCAATCTGTGGGTGAAGGATTGAGCACTGATAATTTAAAACAGAAGCAGGTTTGTCAAAGATATGGAGCTAGGATAAGGTAGGAAAGGTCAGCCAATATTTCTCTGTAGACATAGGGCTCTCTAGGGTAATGCCAGAATCTCTAGAGTAATACTAGAACATATCCTAGTTCTGCTACTAACTAGCTGTGATCACAGGCACTTATAGAGGTTCTGTTCCTCAGTTTTCACATCTGTTAAATAGGAGTGAGGGGAGAGCTAAGGTCCCTCTAACTCTATTAATCTATGCAGTAGGGCAATAAACTTCTCTGACATGCTCTGGCTGATAATATAGATAGAACCAGAAGGCAAAAGAATCTTATGCTCAATTTACTTGGAAAATGAATGCTACCATGGTGCCAAGACTTTCTCACTGCAACTCACCATGGCTCTAAATCTGTAACTCCAAACTGACAGTGCCTGGTGTTGGGGCTCAGCCATACTCAGGGGGAAGAAAGCCTGAATGGAATCCTGGTGGCAACCCAAATATGAGACGGAGTCAAGAGAGTTGGGTTTGAATTCCAGAGATGAAATTTCCCAGCTTTGGGATCATGTGCACATGACTTAATCTCTTTGAGCTTCAATTACCTGGCATGTAAGGTGGGGATGAGAATATTGGTACTATCTCATTCACAAGGATGTCCTAAGGAAAGTGCTTTGTAAGCCCAAAAGTGCTCTGAAGCAACTAGATGGTGCAGTTGAATAGAATACCAGACCTGAGGTTAGATCTGGCCTCAGACATTAGCTGTGTGACCCTGGACAAGTTACATAATCTCTGGTCTACCTCAGTCTCCTCATCTGTAAAATGAGGGTAAAGATAGCACCTATTCCCAGGGTTGTTGTGTGGATCAAATAGGATAATATTTGTAAAACATTTTCCAAACCTTTCAGGTCTATATAAATGCTGGCTATTACTACTTAGAGGTAGTTACTTTTTCCTTAAGTCACCCTTCCATGGATGTAATCTTGACTTGCTGGGAGTTAATGAGATAGGGTACCCAGAAGGGGAAAGAATTACTTCTTAATAGAAAATAGCTAACTTTCAAATATTCCACAGACCTATTGCTTATCTGACTTTGATATCTTTGGAGATCATAGATTTAGAGCTGGAGGTCATCTGGTCCAACAATTGCATCTTACAGATGAGGAAACTGAGGTTCAGAGAAGCTATGGAACTTGCCCAGGGTCACATAACTAATAAGTGTAAGAGGCAGGATTTGAACTCAAGTCTTTCCAACTCTATATCCAGCCCTCTATCTATCTCATTCTGTCTTCTCCATTATAATACACAAATATATCCATGATGATGATGTTAACTAACATCTTTCTGTACTGCATGCTTAGCTTGTCTAAACACATTTATCTTCATTTCATTATCACCTTATCTCCCAAAATCTGTCAGACTTGTTATGAGGGACAGTGTAAGATAGTGGAAATAGGATTGGGGTGGGCATAGAAAAACCTGATTTCTATTCCTGGATTTGCCACTAACTAGCTAGTGGTATGATGTTTGAAAAAAGTGTTCAATCTCTTTGGGACCTAGTTTCTTCACCTAGAAAATGAGGGACATTGGTTAGATGATTTCCGAGTGCTCTTTTAGTTCTAAAAGCTCTATGAAGCCAGATTAACATTCCTTTACTTCAGAAGATTTGTTTCAGAACTTTGAAAAGTGTGAGGTTAAGAAAAATGTTCAGGTTCACAATGTACTCTACCTTGTTTTACATATAATAGATGAATTCCTGAAAAAGGATAAAGAGAATTTGCATAAATTAAATCCAATTTTAAATATACAAGGGGAACTTGTGTAAAAGAACACTGTTGTGAATCTTTCAATAAAGCAAAGAATCCTTTTGTAATGCAAATGATCCACATTCATTTTTTGTTTTTCTAAAGTTCATATTCTCATTTATCTGATTTCCTTAAAGATTTATGCTCTTAAACCTTGCAGAGCAGACGCTCCTCAGTGGTTCTACGGTACTCAGTATATTCAGTATGAAAAAATAACTTTGGTGAGTTGGCTTGCCTTTAGGACTGACATCAGAACCCCCAAGATGGTGACATTTGAGAGAATCATAGGATTGTATCTTTAGAGTTGGAAGGGACCTTGGAGATCATCTAGTTGATTTCTCTAGTTGTACAAATGAAGAAACTGAGGCCCAAAGAAGTTAATTGACTTGCTCAGGGTCACAAAGCTGGTGATTAGCAGAGTCAAGATTCTAACCCAGGTTCTTTGATTCTAAATCCGGCTTTTTTTTCCCTACTACACCATGCTAGGAATTGTGGAAGGCTAGAACTGGAAAGATTACAGTTTTATCTACTTAATGCAATCTCCTCATTTTATAGGTGAGGGATTTGAAAACCAATAAGACAAAGTGATTGCCTAACAAGTTAGTGGCTGAACTGGAACTAGAATCTCAGTCTTTTGACTCTGCCCAGTGCTTTCTCCATTACACCATATTGCCTTTACTCAGTGTTGCTGCAGACTGGCTATTTTGATATCAGAGTGTGGACTGAACAAATCCATTCTCCAACCATGGCAAACCTCTCATAGCAAATAAGGAAGAAAGGAAAGGGAAAGAGGGAGTGAAAAATGCAGCAACTAAATTATTCTAAATGGAATGTTTCCAGGTCTTCTGTGACTCACTGGTGGGTCATTAGTGTATTAGTTATAAAAAGATCTGCTTACTGTCAATAGCTAGTCTATTAGATAGTACCTGGTGGTTGGGGTAGAAGAGTAAAAATTAGGAGTTTCAAGTCCAGCCCTCACTCATTTTGGGCAAATTCCTTAACCCTTTCATGACAATAATCATTGTTGTACAGGAAAGAAATAAAACCAGTATCAATTTTAACATAAATCTGTTCACTCCTCCACAAATACTTATAATTTACTCTTTCAGACTTCTCAAACTAAGTGCTGGCAGATCTTTCAATATGATGATAGTGGTTAGTATCAACAAATACATCATTGGAGTCTTATCTATCTACAAGCTTGTTAGAACCCTTCTGTGTCCATAGCTCCTTCATTCCAAAATATGGAGCTCACAAGGGCCAGTGCACAGGGCATCATGAAGATTTTAAGATGAAAGTTCATTAAATATTTTAAATGAGGCCTCACTAGATATCACCAATGCCATGGTTTGCCTCCTTTCTAGATCAATTTCTAGTTTGCTTACAGGGAAATAAATTTGGAGGTCTTAAAATATACAAAGTTTGATGACAGTGGAGGATGGAACCACTTTAGGTAATAGCATGTTTCATATTGATTTGGTTTAAGAGTGAATGGCCCACCACTTTAAATTATCTGATTCCTGGAATACAAGATTTCGAAACTAAGAGCCCAAGTAATCTCTGAATAGTTTCTTTCCATTCCAAAATGCTATTATTGTATCTATAGTTGCAGACAATTGTTTAAAAAAAAAAAAAGCTCTTGTAGGTAACCTGTGATAAGCCATTTTCCACAAACACCCATTCATTTGAAAAGTTATTTGAAACTGCTATAAAATGGAGCATACATATATGCACATATATGAATATATAGTATATGTACTACATATGCACATATAGCACATTTATATTTGCAGAACTTTGTGTAGTTTTATTTTTTTCATTCTTATATATGCATTCAGTAGGACCTGCCAGCCATTCAAATGCTGAACAAATAGGAAGGAAACACTAGTCAAGTTTGTTGAAATGCTCTTGAATCCTTAAGTGGATTTGTAGCTCCACCATTCACTTAAAAATGGTTTTCTTTTTGCAAAGTTAGGGCTTGTAGTGTGGAAGGAGTGGATCACTTGTAAAGGAAATCACAATTTGGATTTCACTGACAATGTGAAGAGGGCTCCAAACATCATAGCTACTGTAGAATACAGGAACTATGCATGCAAAATACTAGACTTAAAACTAATCTGGATAAATAATTATTGGAAAGAGGAAGGTAGGTGAAACCATTGGCAGTTCACATTGTACTTTGCTTCAGCACCTAGGACAGTTCTATGAAGACTGGGCTCCATCACAGTTTAGAACACATTCCCACAACATTCCCACTTGCCCCCTTTGTAAACATTCCTTTCATTCCAACGAACATGTTGACTATTTGATTATCAATTAAAATGCATAGGTATAAATACTGTAACAACTCCTCCCCCTTTTTGTCCCTTTTCCCCACCCCACTACCACCCAACTTTCAACCCCATTTCACAACACCCTCTGATCGGTCATCAGGACTGTATGTCTTACAAACACCTGGTATGGATGTTTTCCATTTCCACTTCTAATGGCTGGGAAGCAGCATTTGCCATAGGCACTGATTAATTGTGTTTTCATTCCTTGTGTCTCACTGCAAAGGATTCAGTTCAGTTGTTCAGGTAAAGGAAGCCTCCTTAATCAGCCCTGAAGTATGGCTACCCACAGGATACATCACAGGAAGTCCATAAGATCAGTGATTTCCTTTCCTCCATAAGGAGGGACCTTCCCAGGGAATATGATTCCTCTGCCTGAAGAGCAACCCCATTTTTTATTAGTGGCTGCAAAGGCAGGCAAACCCGAGAGGTCTGCTTTGGCTCAGAATATCAGTTTTGTTCACACTATGCCCTGACAGCATCATTACACTCCTTGGCTGTGTGTACCAGACACACAATAATATTCTATTTAGGAGGAATCACAACCAGAGGCTGTCCTCGCTTCGGTCTCCACATGAGGACTTGGGCATCATTGGCATTGGGCTTCACTAGTGCATTGGGGGGGATGGGTTCCATTCGATTCAGGATCTTAGGCTGTTCCTGCTGAGTCCTGCCCACCAGCCGGGCTCGGTGCCCCAGAAGTTGCAGGGGATCCACCTCAATGTCCACTCTCATCCTCCACTTGATGGTCTGTAGGATAATCTTCTCTTTTGTGGTTGTGTTCATGGCCACTAGCCAGGTGGTAAAGCTTTGGTCCCTCTTGATCCTCGTCAGCAGTGGAACATTGCTGTCACTCACAGGAACAGCCCACGTTACACTGGGGTAGAAATTGTCATTCATACTAACTGAGAACCTGGAGATCTTGTTGGTGGGGCCGACCAGGGTCACAGTTTCGGTAGTATTCCCATACCAAGGATAGCTCACCCCATCTGAGTCACTGATGGCTTTTACTCTCCCTTCCCTCAAATCCGGCAGTTCCCAGCTTGACCTAGGAAAGCAGAAGAGATGTACAAGAAAAGAAGAGGTTGAGTTAGTTCTCCAAAGGGTAGAGAGGTGCCCCTGTCTTATTAGCATGATCCCACAGAGCATCATATGAGATCTGGCAAAAGAAAGGATTGTTTAAAAAAAATTTACACTGTCCTATTGCAGAGTCAAATTAAAACCCCCATATATTTCAATAATACATTCCCAGTTGGGAACAATCAGTTCAAAGAGGTGGGCATCATTAGCTTGAAGCTGTGAAGCCTACAAATGTGCCAATAAATAGTGGCAGTGGAATGGCACCTAAAGGCTTGAGATCATCTCCTTCAAGTCAAAAAGAAGAGGAAGATAAGTTACTCTATCTGGGGGTTTATAGGTCAGAGTCTATAGGGATAAAGGAATATTGAGGATTATAGCGATATATTAGGGGTTACAGTGGAACAACTGCCCAAGCAATAGGATTGTTCAAGACACATAAGTTCCAGTTAGCCACCAGTTCAGCCAAGAGAAAACTAAGGAACAGCTAGAAAGAGGAGACAACTCTCATCCTTCAGAAACTACTTTGATTTTTAGGAGAGTAGCACTTCAAATGGACCCCCTACAACATACTGTTCCCCCAGTTCAATTGTTTTCAGTCATATCCAACTCTTCATGTACCCATTTGGGGTTTTCTTGGGAAAGATACTGGAGCAAATTGCCATTTATTTCTCCAGTTCATTTTACAGATGAGGAAACTGAGGCAAACAGACTTAAGTGACTTGCCCAAGTTCTAATAGCTAGTATGTGTCTGAAGCTGTTACTGAACTCAGGTTTTCCTGGCTCCAGGCCCAGCACTCTATCCGCTGTGCTACTTAGCTGCCTCACTGTTTCCCCATTTGCCTTCAAATCCATCCCTGATGTTTATTTGCTTAGTTTTGAATGCTTGTCCTTCTGGGCTCTCTTTTCCTCTGGCCTTTGATGATGTGAAAAGTGGCTCCTGGAGGTGATTTAACCTCCCTGTCCTATACTCCCCAGTCCCATGTCCACTCCTCATACAGGGAAGACAGAGTATATGCCATATTTCCAGGCCACGCACTTCCCCAAAGTTTACTCTTTCTGATTTCCTTCATGAGGGGATGGAAGAGGAAATGTAAAAGGTTGCTAAGGCTATCAGGATGACATTACAGCTTCTAGTGCCAACTACAGATAGTTAGACTTGATTTTTAAGACCAGCCACAGGTAACTTGTGAAGTAGATCTTGACTTTACACTTTCTTTGTCCATCTCTAGGATCTATATCTCCATCTCTAACATATATAATCAAGAAAACAATGACAACAACAAAAACCAAAAAGGAATCTCCATTCACCTCCTGTCAGACAGATAAGGCCTTAAATTGCCTGATCTACTTTTGATGAAAAGTGATAAAATAACCTTTGTTGGCACAAATATTATAAAATATAGTTTTGTTGAAGAACCTGTACTATCAGCACCACCTCTGAAACCCTTAGCCTCAGGCTGAAGATATTGAGTCGGGGTAGAAAGCCATCTTCCCCTGGGGATGGGGCAGGGAATCTTTGACACCTCCTGCGCTACTTCCCTGCACAATTTAAGGGTGAATGTTGGATGCCACAGGGACAAACGGAGGCCATGGCAACATGTGTTTTCTTTCTTCTCTCATTCTGATGTCTTCCTGTAATAACTACATATTGCCAAAGTGCATCACTGTTGGCAATAGCACCCTCAGTACAAAGTGACCTCACTTGTAGACTTAGTGAGATACTTTACTTGAAACATTATTTCAGATCAGTGTCATTGGGTGGTTTCCAGACAATACTATTGCCCTCTTGACAAAAAACAAAATGGAATAAAAGATAGAAGTGCTTGTTTGAGCAAAATCTAATTGTACATAGGTCAGAGGTTGGTCATAGATCCAACTAGTCTTTCTTTCATGAGATGACAAAAAGGGAGACAAAGATCAGGCTTTTTTGGTCCAAGCAGAGGAAAATGGTTGAATTCCTCAGGCACTTAGCCACAAAATTACTTTGACACATCTTCATTTGGGCTCGGGAAATTAGATCTGGGGGGCATTTGGATTTTTTTAGGTTTGGATGGCAAAACTTTGTAGCAAAACCCATTTCTCTCATTGGGAATTGCCTGATGCCCCCCTAAATCCTCTGATCATAGTATGACTCTTGGGAATCTTTTTTTGATTTGTGTACCATTGGACTCAATTTGATAGATTTGTGCTTTTTGATTTCTTTGATAGATTTGTCCTTTGGAAGGACGAGAGAATTCATTAGCATCCGGTACACAGTGCCTTGCACACAAGTAAGTATTTTTGAAAAAAACTGTCTATTGAACTGAATTATATTTTATCATAGTGGATACAGAGTTTTCTGCTGGTAGGGTTATCTCCCATTTTCCTGTAATAAAGCCAAATGGTAAGAGCCTTGGACTAGTCAAGGATCCTGAGCAAGTGGCTTGATTTTATTGGGCCTCAGATTTCCCTAATACAAATGATAAGTGAGCAAATGATAAAGATACAGATGATAATACAAGTATATAATACCTCAGATTTCCCTAATACAAATGATAAGGAAGCAAATGATAAAGAGAAAGATGATAATACAAATATATAACAAATAAGCAGATTGGGTTATGCAATATATAACGAACACATATGTGCTGATAGTGGGGGAACAACAGAATAACATTGGTATAAGAGAAATCTTTTGGGGGAGAGAAGCAGCATGGGATAGTAGAAAGAGTTTTGGATTTGCAGTCAAGAGATCTGGGTTGAAATGACAGTGTTGAAATTTAATTTACTTGCTGTGTGACCAAGGGGAGGGCAATTAACCTCTCTGAGTCTCCTTTTCCTCATCTGTAAGGTGAACATACCAACCCCTGCACTACCTCTACTGCACAGGGTCCTTTCTGAGAAAAGCATTTAAGAGGCTTTAAAATATTATGCAAATACAGGCTGTCATCACATACAAAGTATGACAAATGGCAGTAGCAATGAAAACAAAAGTGATTCTTTTTCATAATCATGGTTGAACCTTCATATCCAAATTATGCCCTTCAGAATGGTCACAGACCTATTCAATGAGGTTTGGAACCGCTCTTGTGAAACTGCTTCCAGAGCTGGCAGGAGATCTCAGGAAGCAAAGTGGTACAACGTCAGGCTGTACCTGGAATCAGGAAGACCTGAGTACAAATCCGGCCTCAGATGCTGATTTACTGTGTGATCCTGGGCAAGCCACTTAATCTCTGCTTGTTTCAGTTTCCTCATCTGGATGTTTGGCTTTTTTTTTTAAACCCTACCTCCTGGGGTTGTTGTGAAGATTGAATGAGGAAATATTTCTAAAGTGCTTTATCAACCTTAAAGTGCTCTATAAATGCCAGATATTGTTACCATTATGAAATGCGCTCAATGATGACATGACTTCATCCTTTGAATATGGGTTTGATTTTTGGAAACACTGAAAACCTACTTGGAAGTAACTCTGGTTAATAAAGTGGGCATAACAAAAGTTATCTTTTCGCATCAGAAGTTAAGTGTACCAGACTAACCTTATTTCCATTTTTGGATAGGGTTATGAAGTTGGAGATAAAAGTTTTTTTAGACTTTAGCAAAACATTTGATAAAGTAGCTCTTGTTTTCTCATGGAAAGCATGAAGAGATATGAGTTAGATGACAATAAAATTAAGATTTAGAAGGAGGTGAGTGGTCTTACTCAAAGAATCTATGCAGATATAAACTCTTAGAGATATATTTTGAAGTCATTTATTATATATTAAATATCATTAAGATATAATCCTCTTAATTTTAAAAATTAGTAAAATGTTGATACATTTAAAAATTGTGCATCCAAAGCATTGTCAAGGTCATTTTGCTACCTACATTTATATGGATAGCTTGCCTGCAAGATATTTTTTATTGATTCTCCCTTTTAAAAAACTATAAAAAGAAAAATCTGACCCCTTTTTTCATTGTCTGAAAATAGTTTGCTCTAGTTTTTTTTAATACTTTCATTTATTTGTCATGGAAAAGAGCAGTTTGCCTAAAAGAGTATACTGATTATATGCAAAATGTTTGTAATTCTTTGTGAAATTGTAGTTTGTTATCTACTTGTATCTGAAAGCTATTGTTGTGAAATATGATCAGCATTTTTGAAACATACTTTTGAAGCTTGGCAATGAATTTGCTTTTGAAATTTATTTTGCCAATTGATTTTGGTTCCATGTCAACTTGGAAGGAAGTCTCCAGTGAATGGCTCCTGGGATCTGTATTTGGGTTTGTATTGTTGAACATTTTTTATCAATGACTTGAATTAAGTCACAGCCAAGGTCTTTATCAAATTTGCAGATGGTACAAAAGCTAGCTAAAACACTGGATTACAGAGTTTGTATCCAAAAAGATCTTGACAAGTTAATCTAGTAAGATGAAATTCAATGAAAGGAAATTTAATAGGGGAATGTAAAAGTTTATGTTTAGATTTAGTAAATAAATTTCACATGAAGGGAAACATGATTAGACAGCAGTGTGTATTTCATAAAGGTTAGGAGAAGGGGTAGTAGATTGCAACCTCAGTATGAGTCAAATATGTGCTATTTGGCAAATATATGCATACAGATCTGTGTGTGTGTGTGTGTGTGTGTGTGTGGCAGCTAGGTGGCACAGTGGATAGAGTGCTGGCCCTGGAGTCAGGAGGTCCTGAGTTCAAATTCAGCCTCAAACACTTACTACTTGTGTGATCCTGGGAAAGTCACTTAACCCTGTTTGTCTCAGTTTTCTCATCTGTAAAATGAGCTGGAGAAGGAAATGGCAAACCACTCCAGTATCTTTGCCAAGAAAATCCCAAATGGGATCTCAGAAAGTAGGACTCAACTGAAACAACAACAACAACAACAACAACAACAATATATATGTATACATACACAGCCAAAAAAGTAAATATAATTTTAGCCTTAAAGGAAGGGCATACTATTCAGAACAAGGAAAGTAATAGTACCACTGTACTCT